CCCCTTCCCGTCCGGCTCTTGTATATAAACAGCCTGACGGTGGCAGTGCAGGGTCGAGTGGCCATTTATAAACGGCCTCCCTGCCTCCTGCTTGTGCATGCTCCCTGGGAGCACACAGCACCGCGATACGGTACCCGCTGTGTCCTCCGGACACAGTGAAACACCAATCGTCAGACGGGACCTTTGTGCGAGGTCCCGATCATGTGATCACTGATTGGCCAATCAGTGATCACATGCAGAGTAGTAAGCAAGATGTCACTTCTGAGATCATTGCTTACTATGTGTGAAATCTGTGAATGATCACAGAAGTCACATGGTACAGGGCCATTCACAACAGCCTTGTACCATGTGACAGCTCACACAGTAGTTCTCAATGGCTGCAGGAATGCAGTCAGAGAGAAGGAGAAATGATTGCTTTTACAGCCTTTATGGGTGTAAAAACAATCAGTGTAAAAAAAAAAAAAATTCTTCATCACCCCCCCCACAAGTAGTACAGTGTCACCATGGTGACACTGTACTGCTAGGGTGACAGTATGTAAAAAAAAAACCATAAATAATAATATTAAAAAAAAATACAAATACAAATAAAAAAAATGTTTAAAAATTATAATTTTTGGTTATAAACTAATTTGGGTTATTTTTTTTTTTTAGTAAAAAAGATAACGGAATACATTTTGGCCAAGATTTATGATAAAATATTATTTATTTGCAAAATTTTATAAGAAAAACACTTTTTTTCAAAATTTTTTGTACATTTCATTTACATAGCAAAAAAAAAATAAAAATCCCAGCGATGAATAAATACCACCAAAATAAAACTTTATCTGTCTCAAAAAAATGCAAAAAAATTCATATGGGTACAGTGTTGCATCACCACGCAATTGTCATTCAAAGAGTGATAGCGCTGAAAGCTGAAAATTGGCCTGGACAGGAAGGGGGTAAAACTGTTCGGACTTGAAGTGGTTAAAAAAGAACTGTCACCAGAAGCTAAAAAAATGCTTGTTAATTCCACAGGGATCCAGTGCATATAGCACTTGTTCCTGTTAAATTCTCTGCTGTATAGAAATAAAATTAATTTTTGTTTCTGTCAATGCTGTCTGTAACTCCACCCCCAGCAGAGCGCAAATTACATTGCTATTGGTAGAGATACAGGCAGCACTAAAATGACAGCCACCTCTCTGTTCTTCAGCGCTCCTTACCTGTTTAACTCAGTTCCTCCTCTATTTCCATTGTTCTGTGAAAGGAAGGAGCTCCTCTATTTCCATTGTACTGTGAAAGGAAGGAGCTCACAATCTCCCGCAGCCATGGGAAATTACTATGGTACTTACAGGCAACTTGTGTTGTGAGTGACAGTGGCTTTAGAGGAGAGTTGTCATTTACAAAGCCAACAGCAACACAAGCCAGCAGCTATTATACTAGTCCTTCTCTGACAAATGTAGTAGCTGCCAGCTTATGATTTGTGAACAGCACTCCTCTAAAGCCGCCGTCATTCACAAAACTAGCCACCAGCTATAACTATAGTCATCTCCTTCAAACTAGCTGGAGGTTTTCTACATGTATGTATGTATTTTGTAGTGCAGGTGTAACTCGGTTTACGAACGCCACGGTTAACGTAATTTTCGGTTTACAAATGAAAATCCATTGAAAATATTATGGGAAATAAATGCGAGCGCACCTGCAAAGAAAGTATAGCAGCTGTACACCAGGTAACCATAAAAACCTCTAAAAACAATGTAAATCAAAAGTGCAGCGCTGGAAAAAAGACACTATAAATATAAATCATTAAATAAACAGTTCATATGGTGATTTCAAGTGACATCAGGTGCTTTCATATAATCATATCCTTCTGGTGGTAAGGTGCTGTGAGATAAGGTGCAGAAAGAATGCACACTCACCAGAACGCACAATTTAATGAGCGTTTGTAAATATATGTTTCTACTGAGGTCATCTGCTGGTCAGGGTGATGTCTGGAATCCTATATCCTCCCTTCCGTGGTCCTGGATGTTTATCAAGGTGGTCCAGTATACCCCTCAGGTAGTAGCCTATGGACTGCTCTGTAGTGGTAGGGAAAGCTCCTTCTCCAGTGGTCAGGTGGATGGCTGTGGATTGATACTCCCCAAGGGAGTCAAAGCAGAGACATCTCCATAGTGTAGTAAGTATATACTTTTTGGTTGTTTCTTTGGAGCAGGCTCATACGTAGGTCTTGCGGGAGAACTCACAGAGGTAATTCAAAATCCAGGGCAAATTTAACTGATAAAATTGTTTCTTTTGTTTGTTTTGAAAAGGTGAATCAATATTGTTTGTTGATACTTTTATCATTGAGATATGTGAAATCCTTATATTGTATGCTAGGACGTTCTTCTTCAGGAATAAAAGGAATGCAAATGTGTACTGGACCAAATCCATGACTATATCTGATCAGCACTCACCAGCTGCTGCTGCCATGACCCAGCTTATTTTCTAAAGGTTTGATTCTAAAGGTTGTAATGGTAAAAAAACAAATAACAAACATGTTATGCTTACCTGCTCTGTGCAATGATTTTGCACAGAGCAGCCCCGATCCTCTTCTTTTTTGGGTCCCCTGCCAATGATCCTGGCTCCTGCCCCCAGCTGAGTGCCACCAATTGCAAGTCTCTTAGGGAAGAATAAACTAAATTCTGAAAATGTTAGTTCTCTGGTTATGTTGCAATTCTTAACCAAGAAATGACTTGCATATAAGCACTAATGCTTTCTCTTTTTAATGCCTTTCTAATGCATTGCTTTTTGTTCCAGGTCAGTGAATCAAAGTATCGAAGCCAGAGGGTCAGCATTTCAGCCAGGAGGTCAGCAATGGCAGTTCCTTGATGTTTCTCAGGAAAGATTTACTGTAAGTGTTTATGAAATAGCAGACGGTAAGAAGACCATAGTGAAGTATGGAAGAATGAAAGGCAAAATCTAAATGGTTACTATGGTTACAAAAAAGGTTTATTTAAAGACACTGGGTTTTAGGCACACATCTCTCCTACAGATTCTGGAACTCTGTGACCTCTTGCATTTGTATTCCATTATAAGGACTGCAACATTATTTAAAATGCATCTCATATATACTGTCTGTTGGACAGCGAAGTCACTGTTGTACACCTTGGTACAGCAGGTTGCTCCAGCTGTCAACTGAGTAACCAACCCATAAACAACACTCTCTACCCAGATTACTGACAGAAACTAGAGAGCTTCAGTTAGTGGCTTAATGGCTTGTACATCTGCTTTACAGCTCTGGTTAAAATCCTGGCCAGAACACTATCTGCAGTTTGCATGTTCTTCCTGTGTTTGCGTGGGCCTCCTTCCACCCTCCAAAGATGTGCTACTAGGTTAATTGGATTCCATCTAAATTGGCCCTAGTATACATTCATATACCAGGGACCGCAGATTGTAAACTCCTTGAGGACAGGGTCTGAAGTGCATATAGCACTGCATGCGTTGTTACTGCTATATAATTGCCTGTACAAAAATGTAAGTTTAACCACTTGCCCTGCAGAGGATTTACCCCCCTTCCTGACAGGCCAGTTTTTATGATACGGTGTTGTGTTATTTTAACTGACAATTGCGTGGTCATGCAATGCTGTACATAAATTAAATGTATATCCTTTTTTTCCACACAAATAGAGCTTTCTTTCGGTGGTATTTGATCACCTGTGCGCTTTTTATTTTTTGCGCTCAAAAAAAAAAGACCAACAATTTTGAAAAAAATAAATATATATATATTTTTTTTGACTTTTTGCTATAAAACATATCCAGTAAAAAAAATTAAAAAAAACAAATTTCTTCATAAATTTATGCCAAAATGTATTCTGCTACATGTCTTTGCTAAAAAAAAAAAATCCCAATACATGTAAATTAATTGGCTTACATGAAAGTTATAGCGTCTACAAATGGCGGTATAAATACACTGGAATTTTTTTTTTCTGTACTAGTAATGGCGGCGATCAGTGACTTAGAGCAGGACTGCAGCAGGCATTCTGACACTGGAGGGAACTGACTAACTGCCACTGACATCCCAATGACATTAATACACTGATTAGTGCTAATAAAAAGCACTGACACTGTACTAATGACACTGGGCAGGAAGGGGTTAACATCTGGGGCGATCAAAGGGTTAACTGTGTGCTGTGTATGTTTTACTAGGGAAACATAGTGTATTTCTCTGCTGTGCAGAGAAATACACAGCAGCATGTTACTGCTGGCTGGAAAGAGACCTGTGTTGATTACACACAGGTCTCTCCCCTGCCAGTGATACTCAATGATTTCTGGGTGCCGGCAGGGAATCTCCGGACGGGACCTGGTAATCGACCTCTGTAACCACCAATGGCGGTGTGGGTAGGGTGGCGCGCACGCCCCCTACCCTGCAATTCAAGTGCTCAGTCATGCGATGCTGTACCCAACAAAATGTATATTTTTTCACACAGAGCTTTCTTTTGCGGGGATTTGCTCACCCCTATTATATAAATGAAAAAAGGCCAAACATTTTGAAAAAAAAAACTGTATTTTCTACTTTCTGTTATAAAAAGACCCAATAAAATCAAATTTTGTCATACATTTAGGCCAGTATACTCTGCTACATGTCTTTGGTAAAAAATAAAAAAAAAATCCCAGTAAGTGTATATTAATTGGTTTGTGGACCATGTGCATCGTGGTCCACCATTTAGTGATGCCCACTTTAGAGGAAGAGCCTGTAACAGTCCTATCTGGACCGCAGCCTTGCCAAATAGATGCCTGAGTGTTCTCTCCCTGCTGCCAGCTCACCTACCTGCAGCTGTTGTCCTTAACTAGTAGCCGACCGCAGATAGCCGAATGACGGCTGCACTGCGGCCGGCCAGTTCTGGGTGGACGTCATATGACGTCCTCCCAGAACGCGCTCTCCTGCGCGCCCCAGGGGGCGCACACCCGGCGATCTCCGTGATCGCTGTGTCCTACGGACACAGCTGGTCACGTGATGTGGTAAAAGGCCAATCACAGCGGCCTTTTACCACGTGATCAGCGGTGTCCAATGACACGCTGATCAGAGGAAAGTGCAAGTGCCGGTTCTCGGCTGCACTTTCCTCACGCTGTCAGATCGTGAGGAAAGTACTGCCGAGAACCGGCAGTTGTCAGAGCGGGGATTGGCACCGATCATCAGGGCACTGATGATCAGTGCCCTGATGATCGGTGCCCAGCAGTGCCGCCCGCAAGTTCCGCCCACCTATGCCCAGCAGTGCGCCCACTAGCTCCGCCCACCTGTGCCCAGCAGTGCACCCACCTGTGCCCAGCAGTGCACCCACCTGTGCCACTCTGCAGTGCCACCTACCTGTGCCCAGAAGTGCCACCTACCTGTGCCCAGCAGTGCCGCCCACCCACCTGTGCCCACCAGTGCCACCCACCTCACCCACCTGTGCCCACCCACCAGTGCTGCCCACCAGTGCCGCCCACCAGTGCCGCCCACCAGTGCAGCCCAGCAGTGCTGCCAGTCAGTGCCACCAGTCAGTGCCCAGGGGTTGTGCCAGTCAGTGCCGCCAGTCAGTGCCCAGCAGTGATGCCAGTCAGTGCCGTCTATCAGTACCCATCATCAGTGTCACCTATCAGTGCCGCCTATCAGTGCTGCATATTAGTGCCGCCTATCCGTGACACCTCATTAGTGCTGTCTATCAGTGCCGCCTATTCGTGCCACCTCATTAGTACTGCCTATCAGTGCCCTTTAGTGCTGCCTATCAGTGCCCATCAGTGCTGCCTATCAGTGCCCATCAGTGCTGCCTCATCAACGCACATCAGTGAAGGAGAAAAAATACCTGTTTGAAAAATTTTATAATAGAAACAAAGAAACTTTTTTTTTTTTTTCAAATTTTTTACACTTTTTTATTTTTAGCGCAAAAAGTAAAGCGCCCAGTGGCGATTAAATACCACCAAAAGAAAGCTCTATTTGTGAAAAAAAAATGATCAAAATTTCATATGGGCACAATGTTGCATGACCGCGCAATTGTCAATCAAAGTGCGGCAGCGCTGAAAGCTGAAAATTGGCCTGGTAAATAAGGGGGTATAAGTGCCTGGTAGGCAAGTGGTTAAGGAAGCGCACAACATGGAAGGGGCAGTAGGTCTGTATAGAGGGCGGGATTTTCTAATTAAGAAGTGGGGGATTGATTGCTAGGCTTCGGGGCAGGCCAAAATATCATTCACCTGCTTTTTTTTTTTTTTAAGAACATTTATTGGGTTTTTGAGACATACATTGTATCGACCAAACAGGCAACATAAAAGGCATATCATGTTAAAATAGAAATGTAGAAAATCTCTAATCACATTCTACAAGAAACATTGCATAGAAACATTGAAGTGCTCTTGGATTAGAGAACCCCTAACACGGGGCAGATATAGACCAATATCTGATAGGCAGCTGTGACATAATGGTGACAGAAAAATTATTTGTTAGCCAGAAACAAACAAAGATGGAAAGAATAAGGGCGATAAAATGTATGGTGTAGGATTTGTTTCTAGGTATGTAAGGTGCAAAGACATGTCAGCCGATGTCCACCAAGGACACAATAAATGGAAATAAAAGATGGAAACAAAAGGAGAGAAGTTATGTACTAGAGATGAATAAATGGAGGTGAAAACGGAAGGAATAGAGAGGAGTTAAAGTTGGAAGAGAAAGTATGAGAGAATAAGAGAGAGGAAAATGAGAAGGCTAAGGCACATGTATTAGAGTAAGCAGAATGATGAAAATAGGGGGGGTGGGTAAGTAAATACTACCTGAGGAACCATGTAGCCTGAAGGGATACGAGAGTGGTTAACCTGGATCTGAGTTCAAGTAAATGTGATAGGATTGGTGGGGGTCAGAAAGGAGGGTGTCCTATGGCTCTAATTGCTACCATAGATAATAGAGGGAGTGTACTCACCTCCAGTCGCTTGTTGTGATCATGTGGAGCACTCTGAAAACAGGTGTACTAGTAATATGGTAAAATATATCATACTGTGGGTCCAAACCCTTTCATAGGAAAGGAAAAAGGAGACCTAGAAATGGAGAGGGAAGCAAAGACTAGTGATAAATGTTACACGTAAATGAGGTAGTGTGACCTGTAACCCACATATGCTTACTGTAGTCAAAGTAACATTACATCATTTGAGAAGCTTAGTACTATGTCCCAAGACTCTGGAATCCTGAAGGAAAAATTGTTGCTCCTGTACGGAGAGTGTTCCAGTGATATATAGCTTCCACTTTCGGAAGTAATAATCTGATCTGATGGTTGGAGGGTGAGGAAACTAGGTTAAGCCTGTCCAGGCGGAGAAGAAAGCTAAGGTCTTGCTTTAAGTCCATTATGGTTGGAGGATAGTTGGAGACCCATTTCTTCAATATGGCCCTTCTCGCTACCAAGAGACAGGTGGATATCCATGGTTTGTTGTTTCTGAGAGTTGATAGCTGGCAGAGAACAAATCCTGTAGCTGATTGTTCCATGTTGCTGAAAAGGAGAAGCAGCAGATCTCTGGTCAGTTGGAGAGTGGTGACTAAAGATATAAAGCTGATCACTTGCTTCCAAAAGACAGATATGGATGGGCAGAGACAAAATCTGTGATGTAATGAAGGTTTGAGACAACCGCAAAGCGGGCAAGTGAACATAGCAGGATTGGCTTTCGAACAGAGACAAGGCATATAGGCACGATGCAGGATCTTGAATTGTTGTTCACGCCAAAGCTCGTTTGAATTAAAGGCACAGGTGGTGTTGAAACCTGATAATAAATGTTCTACTGTAAATGCATTGTCAAAGTCCTTGACCCAAGAGATCATTGAAGCGGAGGTTTTGTACCAGTACATCTATTATCGTCGTGCGAAATCTGGTAGACTTGATTGGAGCAACAGAGTTGACATAATTCCTCACTTGTAGAATATAAAGGAAATGATGGGGGGTAAGTTGAAGATTTGCTGAATGTAATGAAGAGGCTTTGGGGAGCCAGTAGAAGTATCAAACAGGTGCTGAGCAAGAGTGAGGTCATGTGTAATGCAGGTTCCATATGCTGCATACAGTTGTGGAGGAGGGAAAGAGGGATTGTGATGAATAGAAAGAAAATGAAAGAGCCACGGAGAAACCCCTAACTTGCGTCTGACTTCCCTCCATGTGATGAGAATGTCATGAATGAGTGAGTTATGTTTAAGGTGGGATGGGAGTGAGTTTACATTTGAATGTAGAAGGGCTGTGAGATTAAATGGATGGACCATAGCAGACTCGAGATAATAGTTGGAGTATCTGGAGGCTTGGGTAAGCCAGTCCAGGCATATACGTAGCAGGCAAGAAGGATTATAAATTTGTATGTTGGGAAGGCCGGATCCCCCCTCACTCTGTGAAAGAAACATTTTATGTAATGCAATGCGTGGGCATCTACCCCTTCATAGAAATTTGGATATTGCCTGGTTTAGTCTCATTATATCACTACTATGCCTCAAAAGGAGAGGTATAGTTTGAAGTGGATATAAGAGTTTCGAGAAGCTCACCATCTTAAAAAGATGCGACCTACCCAAAAGTGATAGATCCTTCCACATCTCCAATTCTCCTATAATTTTATTAATCGTTGGTGTATAGTTGAGCGCATATAGAGACAAGGTGAGTTTTCCTATTTTAAATGCCCAGGTATGTGATGTGACTAGTAGCAAGTTTGAATAGTGGATTTTGGGTCCACACAGGAGGGCGAGCGTGGTTCAGCGGAAGAACCTCGCTCTTAGAAAAAATTATGCAGAGTCCTGAATAGAGGCGGAAGTTGGAAAATGTGTCCCAAATATGTGGCAGATCTATGGACAGATTTGAGGTAAAAATGAATATGTCATCTGCGAATAAGAAGATTTGCAGTTCTTGCTGACCAATTGAAACTTCATGAAGGTCAGCGTGAAATAATAGAAAGTGTGCTAAAGGTTCCAGGGCTAGATTAAAGAGTAAAGGGGATAAGGGACACCCCTGTCTGGTGCCCTTGTGGAGTCATATGGGATTGGATATATGGCCTGCCGCTATAACTTGAGCTATTGGTGCCGAATACATTGCTTGGACCAAATGCATAAATGGGCCCGCAAAACCAAATTTCTGTAAGGTTAAGAACAGCCAGGTGAAATTAACATTGTCAAAGGTCTTTTCGGCGTCTAAAGAAATGATCGCTGTGTCCTGGAGTGAGTCATGTTTAGCCTGATTCAGGACTTTTAAGACTTTGTGTATATTTGAGGCAGCTGAACGACCCTGTACGAATCCTGCTTGCGAAGGGTGAATAAGGGGAGGTAAAATAGTGGATAATCGATTTGCAATAATTTTAGATAGAAGTTTTGCATCTAGGATTCAAAGGGATATCGGGCGATACGATTCAGGGCCCGTGGAGTCTTTATCTTTTTTTGCTATTAATTTGATATAGGCTTGGAACCCAGAGGGGAGATAGTCCCCTCCCTCCTGAATTGTTTGGAATACTGTCCGTAGAGTGGGGGAAAGGGTTTTGGCCATGAGTTTGTAGAATTCTGCCGTGTAGCAATCAGGTCAATTCGTTAGAGATTGAATAGCCAAGAGAATGTCAGATTGAGATATCGGGGCATTCAAGGATTGAAGTGCGATAGGGTCTATTTGCGGGAGGGTAATATGGTCCAGAAAAGAGTTGGCACGGGTTACATCTATAGGATCTGAATCGTACAGATTTGCAAAGAAATTTTCTAATATGGAAATGATTTCCTCTGGTGAGTTTTTTAATGTACCCTGGGAATCCTTTAGAGTTGCAAAGTGGGTAGGTATGAAAGGTTTTCTGCATAAGCAAGCTAGCAATTTACTTGGCTTGTTTCCAAATTTATGATAATGTAAATCAAGAAAAAGTTTGGTATAAAGATTCTTGGGCTGCTGCCCAAATATCAAGTTGGTGTTTAGCGTCCACCCATGCCTTCCTGTTTTCGTGTGAGTTAAGATCCGCCAGATCTTTCTGCGTTTGTCTAAGACGGTTGCTCGCCTCTGTGTAGTTATGAAGGAGGTTTTTCTTAGAAGTGGAAGTATAAGCGATAATTCTGCCACGCAGCAACGCCTTACCCATTTCTCAAAACAAATTTGGATTAGATAGGTGAACTGCGTTTGTATCGCAGAACTCAAGCCAGGTGTCATGCAATGGGAAGTGCCATGTTTGTGTGTGTTGACTAGGTTGTAGATAGTTTAGAGTTATGGAAATTGGAGAATGATCTGAAATAGCAATTTCATGTATAGTTGAGTCTGCAAAGTGGTGTTGCAGACTGGAGTTGGAGAAGAGGTAATCAATTCTAGATAAAGTGTGATGAACGGGGAAAAAAAAAAGGTAAAATCCCTACCTTCCGGGCTAAGCGCCAGACCTCAGTAAGTTGCAGAACATCCGCAAAGTTACTTAGCAATGTATGTGCCAAAGGTGGGGTGGTGGGAAGTCGTTGATTATGGTCAGATGATTTTGATTCATCTTCCTGCGTGTTTATGCATGAGCTAATCGCCTCCTATA